TTGCACATTGGCTGGCTAGTTTGCAAACTGTTGCAAAACGGCATATATTGCTGGCCAAACCCCCCCTGGTGAACCCCCCCGTGTTGAGCCTCCCAACAGAGATTGCCTGAAAGAAATTAGCGGGGACTTGTTAAACCTTGTTCCTGCTGGTTTGCTAGAGCTCTGCAGTGCTATTGAAACGACTGGGCACCCTGTGGGGGGTGATCATGCAATGTTGGCTTCAGAGATTAGCAAATTCAGGGGTATATGGTTGTACACTCATATGGGGACTGCAGGGGGTATTCGTACTGTACTCACTCAAGACTCCCGCCTTGATTCAAGTCCCTGCAGAAAGCTCTTGGGTCGGCGATTTAGGCTTAAGTCGTCTCAAGGTCGAGGCTTGATTGAGGTTTATGAAGATAGAGTTGAGGGTTGCGGATACACGGCTCGGGGTTTATTGTGTCGTGCTCCACCTCTAAGCGAAAAATGTCCCCAGTACTATTGCTTCGTACCTGAGGAGCAGACAACACACAGAGCTGCTTCAAGTCAGGAGCATCGAAGCAAGATGCGAGGATCGCAGCTTGCGCCCGAAAACCTCTTATCGCCGTAAGTCTTGGAACCACTACAAGCCCTTTGTTTTATGAGCTTCGTATGAGAGCACCCTGACCACTTGCAAAGCAAGACATCAGACTATTCATGTGCAGTTCTCAACAATTGCGGTCCCGTTTTAGGTCCCCCCCCCCCGCCCCCCAAATGGTAGGGCTCCTTATAAACGTACCCTTAAAACAAACCTATAGTTTCGAAAACTACCCTCATGGCTGAGGACGGCTTGTGCCAGCGCCTGGACAAGTCGGCTTCAGAAGCTGCCCCTGGGTATGGTCCAACAGGAACTTAGGACTTTTGCTTCAGGAACTTGTGCTTCCCTCTTGTTTCGTGAACTGGGTTTAAAGCTTGTTGCAAGGCTTTGTAAACGGGTTCTATTGGGTTCCTTGTAGAGAAGTTAACTTAGGGATTCATAGGGTTTTGCACGGCTTTGTAGGGTTTTGCCAGGTTCACGGTGTCTTGTAAGGTTCTCGTTAATGCACTTACTTCAAGCTGCCAGGACATAAAAGAATCCAACAGAAGTAGCAACATGAGCAGGACTCCTTGGGACGGTCTGCATCTTCTTGACGGGGCTTAAGGGGTTTGTTTTCCATTCATGTTTCAGAGACTTTAATAGACTTTAAGCCGGGCTAGCCTAGACGCGATGCTTTCTGCCATGGCTCTTATAGCTGAGATAGGTTCCTTTCTTTAAGTGAAAACCCAGGCTTGTCCAGCATCCGCCTCGGCCTCAGCCACTTGCAACTTGAAGCAGGCGGCACGTCTGCTGGAAAAGCAGCTCGAAAGCATCCGGGTTCAGGGTAGCTGGGCAAAGTGGCAGTGGCAAGGTTCAAATTCCTTGGACCCAAACCTTATGTAAAACTGTAACCAAAGCAGCCCTGCAAGCCCGGAAGCCGAAACCCAAATCCTTCAACCTAACCCGATTTCCAGGACAGAGGGCTCAGCCTCGCTGAGGGCACTGCAGAAGGCGCAGAGGCTTGTCTCAGGATGCGCCTCTGATGGTCGGCTGTCCTCTATGCTTCGGATGAAGGCGCGATCCTAGAAGGGTAGTGCCTATCTAGGCAACCCAAAGCAATGTGTTTTGGCTTCGGGGGGGGGGGTATAATCCATGCAGGTGTGTTTATAGCGATATATCCCAGTAAAGAGCCTGACATGCGCATGGTTACCTGTCAACCCTGGGTTAGAACACCTTCAGTAGTCCAAGGAAGACGCTGTTGCTAAAGCCCCAAAACCCTGAACACGATCAATTAGGGTCCTAAACCACTGCGCCCTAAGATCCTAAGCCTCAAAAACCCGAAGATCCTAGCAAATCCCCATGGAGTTTTGAACCCCTGTGACTTCCCCTAAATGCTGCATCTTGAACCCTATACACCTTAAGCCGGAAAATCCTGGTGACCTCAACAGGATGCCCCTCGGCTTTTCAGCGCGCTCGCGAAGTTGGCCCCGTCTTCGGACGCCGATGGCGGGGGGGATCTCGAGACGTTTTGCTCTGGGACTGTGTCGCCCGCGGAGCTAGACGCTCGATTGTGCAGAGACTTCAGAAGTTTGGGCTGTAAGAGCATGAAAACGATCGATCTTTAGAAACTTCAGTGCCCTGTTGAGGGCTTGGGTGCCTGAGGTGGAGGGTTTCGGAGTCCAGGCTGGGTGGGGAGGACATTGCTTGCAGGGTTTAGGGTTGAGGGTTTACGATTGAGGGTTTAAGGTTAAGGTTTTACCGTAGGGTTACTGTCGAGAGCTTCCCAGCGCATGGATCCTCGATCGGTATAGTTTTAAACATTATATATATATATATTATCATTATCCAGCATCTGGGGTAGGTCAACCTCCGTGCAAAGCCCCCACAGAGCAGCGGCGTAGGACTTTCCAATTGCTTTCGCGTCTCGAGGGCAAATGTACAGAGAGGGAGCTGAGTCTTCTATCTCGTTCTGAAGTTTGTAGAGGACGGCATGGCGACGAGGGTGACAGTCCGCGATGAGCATCTGGCGGCGATAGGACTTGCGGCCTCAACACGAAGATGTGCGAACCTGACGGGCAAAGGCAAGATGCGACTTCTGGATACTACGTCCCCCAAGAGTGTTTATATTCCCGTCTGTTTTGGGTTGTTGGCATCCGTATCAAAACTGAACCGCCCCTTCTTATTTAGGAGGTTACTGGGAATCGAGGATGTCTTGGTCTTCATGGAGCAGCCGCAGTCAACCGGGCATGTGAGTGGATTTTTCAACATGGTGACTGAGAACCGCTGTGAAATGGACTTTTTCTCCCACTTCCACAATGTCTTCTGCATATTCCATGGGGGTTCCAGCCAGCAAGCAACTAAGATTCTGAGGAGGCAAGCTTTGGTTTTCTGGAGCGAGTAGGCCCTAAACGGCCCTAAACCGCAATCCCTAAACCCACAACAAAACTCGTCAAGGAAACGAAGATTAGCCCGGCCTTCATGACCTCGGGACTCCTCGTGCACCCTCCCTACGGTCCGGCTGCTTGGTCTTGCATCCTCCCCTCAAAGCAAAAGAAGCTCGAGGTGGGGAGGTGCAAAGTTCTTAATTACGGGTCTCTTCTGGGGCCCCTTTTTGAAGTGCACATTGCCGGTCTCGTAGTTTTGCAGATTCAGGTAGGGAGGCCTGTTACAGTACCACGACCCACGACGCAGCACTGGAAGTAACGCATGCTGTAGAATTCTTCGACACCGAAATGCCTGTAATATGGGCGATGTTTACGAGTCAAGTTTTGGAAGTCGATAGACGGCATATAAGACAGCAGTCAGCGGGATGGTGAAGTCTAGTACTTACCCATAGGCTCCTTATTAGTTCTTTTTGGGATTACCTTATCGGATTCTACATATAAACCACAAAAAGGAACTACTTAGGAGCTTATGGGTAGCCAGAAAGAAGAAGTTCGACCAGCCGGCAGGTGAGACTCGTTGATCCCGTACGCTGGCACAGGCCCTTGCGAATGAGCCTCCACCTGAAGCCTGTGGCGCAAAAATACAACTTCGCGGTTTGTCCCCAGCCGCTCTACCGGCTTGAATCACATCGAGATCTGCTGGAGGACTGGCTGGACTATCACAAGAAAATGGGTATCGAGCATTGGACGATTTACGATCTCGATGGCTCGGGTGCTGCAGCCTTGTCTCGCCGGGAAGACGTTGACTTTCAGCCAAATCTTCCAAGCATGTTGAATTCCCCGCGGTTGGCTGAAGGCAACTGGTGGAATCCAATCTGCCTGGAGGCCATTGCGTTAACGCAGTGCTTCTGGCGATATCGTGGGAGGGCAGCCATGGTCTTCTCCCTGCACTCGTTTGACGAGTTTCTCGTGTCCGCAAAGCACAGGCGTGGCGGGTTCAGACGGTGGATGTCGGCGGCAGGACCAGACAACCTCACTACTGTAGTGCGGCTGCCAGCGGTAAACTATGGAGGAGCAGGTTCGTCTGAGGACTCCCCCCCGCTGATCCGACAGTTCCGACGGCACACTGGAAGACTGTTCCTCGGTGAAGTTGGAAGTCCGAGGTAATTGCAACGTGCATAGGTGTTGGGAGTACTACCGCAAGAGGGGGAGCTGGGTGGAAAAGCTGTTTGTCTTGCTTGACTTGCTCTTGGTCGAAGCTTCCTTGCCGAGGTATTGGCACATCGTCGGGGCCAATCCAGACCACGTGCTGTCCGTATCTGTGCCAACAAGACTCCCTTTTCGTTTTTCGGACTTCCCCCTTCCCCCCCCTTCCCAATACCCCTTTTGTAGGCTATACACTTAGTCTTGACTCACAGGTCAATACCACCAACGCCTGGGCAGAGCCGCCACGGAAGCAGAGCAACTTCTTCCAGCCGGAAGCCAGGCTCTGGAGTCTTGAGTACCCATAGGCTCCTTAGTAAATCCTTTTTGGGATTACCTTATAGGTTCTAAATATAAATTTAAACCACAGAAAGGAACTACTTAGGAGCTTATTAGTAGTTTTGTACCTTGTCGCTCCACTCTGGCTTTAGGGTTTTTGAGGTGCGGACTCCAGCCTTATACGCAAAGGTTTGCTCACGCGGCTCTTAGAAACCCTCAACGCAGCAGGTTCGTCCTAGCCTAGCGGGAGGGTAAAAACACCCTAAACCCCAAGCCCCAAAACCCTAAATCCCAAGTCACCTTGTTGTTGCATTGCTACTAGGTGTTCTATTACTTCCTCTTTCCACCCTCCTGTCATCTAGCTGCCATCGCCTTGAGCGTGCTAGTGATGCTAGTGGTATGTCCCAGTAGCAATCTCGGACGCTTACCGCCATGCCTGCTTTGCGAGTGCGTGAGTCGAAATCCCAAGCCCCTTTGAGGATCATCCGATGCGTCCTTAGCCCCGAACAGGGAACCTCTGCAACTAAGGACGTCTTGCGGGTAAACCATTACATCGATGCCTTGGGTCCACGCGATCGACGCAAGGATCGCTTCCCTGCACAAGATGCACGCCCTAAACCCTAAACCCTTAACGAACTAGTTCAGGATTTTTAAGGTTTATGAAAAGAATCTAATTCCAGGCCCAAAACCCCAAACATAGACCCCTCGGGCCACACTCCCTCGCGGCATAATCGAGCTCCCGGAGACTTGGATTAGGATTTTGGTTTAGGGTTTAGGGTCTGTCTGCAATGCCTGGAAGCCCTAGACAAAACCACCAGCAAGTCGCAAGGATCTCTTCGTCCACGAAGACCCAGAGCAAGTTCTCGGCTGGGCTGCCGAGGAGCTGCAAGTGGCCAGAGATCGAAGCTGGGTATCATCTCAGGGCTCGGATCGGAGTTTACGGCTCTCCCGACTTTAAGGGCTTATAGGGTTTGTCTTGAAGGGTTTAGGGTCTCTTTTGTTGAGGTTGAGGTTCGTTTTTTGAACTAGTGTTACTTGCAGAGGCGCGACAACAGGAGCAAGGCATGGGTGCCCGTAAATCTGCACCATACCATAATACGTGAAAAGCCTTCAGAGTCCATGAACCTAGACCCTCCATGTCTACCCTCTATTAGACCCTATGTACCCATTATTTGGGACCATATACCCCTATTTGAGGGTACAAGGAGGGTCCATGAAGTTCTGTCATCTTTTTAGGAGGTGCTCTTCGGGGGTCCTTAGGCCGAGCCCGTCTCAGAGACCACCAACTCTTCTCTGTGGCTGGGCCTCTACTTGCGGCACTCCGAAGGGCCGGAGGGATGGAGATCCCCGAGGAAGAGCAGGTGGGGGAATGTTGGTGCGTGGAGGGTTTAGGGTTTAGGGTTTGGTTTATGTTTAGGTCCATTGAACCTTACTGCTTCACGAATTCAATCCTCAAGCCTCAACCCTGGACACCTACTGAAAGACTTAGGCTCCAAACATCTCCGCACTGCTGGATGCCTCTTTCCGGAGCCTTTCGCCTGCACTGCGGGTAGCCTTCCACCTGGCCGGAGCTGCAGAGGAGGGCCACGTGCGGAAGGCGCCGGGTCTTGGGGGAAAGGGTTGCTTAGGCAAGTTTTACGGGATGAGGGCCCATTTTTGGGGAATCTTTGTGTTGCGTGGATGGGGTTGATTTAGAATCGTGTTTTCGATGGGGGTTTGGAGACAAGGTCGCTGACAGTTCCTCTCGCAGGTTGAACGCGTTTTTTGGATACAGTCAGGAGACTGAGGTCTATTCAAAAACTTGCAGATTCCGCAGGAGTACCTAGTGTTTCCAGCAGTGCCCGGGAAGAGTTGCAATCTTGTGCTGGATTGATGCATAAGCAAGGATCCCAGGAACAATTCCATCGGCACCTTTATTATCATCGAGACAATATGTTGAATAGTCTTATACTACACAGCTTCCGCATCAGCAGCAGATCTTTTCCCAAAAAGCCGGCGGAAGGTCTTGCGCGATGGCTTCGTCAGCTGCGACCTCGACCAGGACAGAAGCTCGGCGGCCTTCGACCCTAAACCCTAAACCCCTAAACCCCTAAACCCTAAACCCTGGGGAGGTTTCTCAAGGCCCTTCAGGTTCAAGTCCGAGTTTTCTTTAAAAAATATGGCAGCCCCAGGATCTCAACGAGATGTATCCAGGCTTGTAAGGCATTGTAAGGGCTTAGGGTCCAGGTAGTCACCCCAAAAGCCTTGAGCCTTAGATCCGTGGTTTAGGGGCAGCAGTGGCTCCGATGGCGCTAATCTTCCGCTGGCCTGGGTAGGGCTTAGCAGAGAAAGAAGCTTGAAAGCGGCCCTCAACGGCTCCCCAACTTCCAACCCGATTCGCTAAACCACCATGGAACATGAAACTTTATGGCCGTTTGGCCTTAGGATTCAAAGTTCAGGAAGTTTAGGATTTGCGGTTTGGGGTTTTCGCAACTAGACCGATCCAGAGGAGGATCCGGGCGACATAGGTGTGAAGAGTGTCGTAGGGGTCGGGGCTCCCCCGCCTGGCACTCGGAGCTAGCACTGCAGGTCTTTTACAGTCTTAGAGATGATGTTTCACGTGGCAGGTCTTCCTTAAGGCTTCTGGGGCTGAGGGGTTTTCAAGTTGCAGATGCCAAGGCGTACACTAAGATTTGGTATCATGGTGGGGATCTACCGGACAGGCTTGCAGGGCCAACCCATCGGGCTTCGAACATTCAGACCCTCCCTAAACCTTATATACAGCTTCAACCCTCCCGTAAACCCTAAGCCAAAAAGCCTTAAACCCTAAACCCAAATGGAGGTTTCCGAGAATAGGGGACCCTAATACCGTACCCCAAACAGTAGGATCCTTATTATAAGGACCCCAAAATAAGGTACCCTAGTTTTCGGAAAGTTCCAAACCCATAAAGCCCCTTTGCAAGCAAAAGCCCAGGAGTGTTGTCTTCGGCAGAGTTCTTGGGTTGTTCCGAGCCGTCGGGCTGGGCAGCTCGGCTTGTTGCTTTAGGGCTGTACGGTCTCAGGGTTTAGGGTGTACATAGGGTTTAGGGTGTATAGGGTTTAGGGTTTAGGGCTTATAGGGCTTATAGGGTTTAGGCTTTAGGGTTTATAGGGCTTATAGGGTTTAGGGTGTATGTAGGGTTTAGGGTTAGGGAGTCCCACCTCGAGTAGTTTCAGATCAGCCCTTGCAAACATTGCGGCAGCTGACGGATCAGGGCAATGTGTGCTGCAGCCCCCTGCTCCAAAAAAAGGTGTTGTAGGGTTGTTCTTGCATGCATGTCTGCAGCAAAAGGGTTTGGGGTTTAAAACCAGGTTGGGCACGGGGGGATGTGCCAGCCCCTCCTCAAAAAGGGTTGTACAGGGCTGGGGTTTTAAGGGGTGGCGGCATTTAGGGTTCAAAGCCTTAGGGTTTTGTGGTGTCAGATTCAGGCCCTACGGTTTAGGGTTCAGGGTTGACGCTTTAGGACTGTCGGAATCAGTGCAGGGTGTTCGGGGTTCAGGGGTTAAGGTTTTGAGCTCCGGGTTTAGGGTGCTAGGGTTGGCTTTTAGGGTTGAGGGTTTGAGGGCATAGGGTTTGGCATACATGTGTATGTATATATATATATAATGTATTTAAGTATTTATTTGTTTATGTATAGAGGTTTTAGGGCCGTGCACTGCAGAGATTTTGAGGGTTTAGGGTTCCCGGCGGGTCTGAGAGTTTACCAGAAGCTACTGTTCCTCGCAATGTGTAGCAGGATGTATTTAAGAGCCTGCAGAAATTAGCTTAGCATATATGAGAATAGAGACTTAGGGGGGGTTTTGTTGTTGGGTTAGGGCGGAGATTTGATCGCGCGTCGTACGGCTTACTGTTTCTGTGGGTCTTGGTGTGCAAATGTGTCTCGAGGTTGCAGTGAAGGCTTATGGCAATGCGTGTAGAACTGGTAACCCTAAACCCTACATAAACCCTAACTTTAAGATTTTGGGGCATTGGGGTCTGACGGCCATTTTCCAGGGTTTAAAAGTACTGCACTTCACTCAAATCCCCGGTCGGAACGGTACCCTAAGCAGTGCAACGCCACATTCATGACATGGGACAGACTCCTTCACGGTTTTTGTGTGTTATGGGATCAAGTGTGGTTTAAGGATTGATGGTACCAATACTCTGCCGTTCGGGTCCCCGATCTGCGAAGGCATCTAAGATCTGTACACCCTACACCTCCCAACCTATCTGAACCGCGAAAAATTCTACTCGTTTTGGGGTTGCCTTAGAAATTTCCTCGCACGTAGGCCTGGAAAACACTAGCTTTTTACGTGTTAAGACAAATGCTAAACCCCGAGGATGCACATCTCCAGCGCCGGGATTTTCACTATATCGGCCTCTTCCTTCATTCGTGGGCCAGCAAGGCTGGAGGGTGCATGTAGTGCATCGTAAAGACGATGAAATTTAGGGTTGAAAGTTCTACAGAGTTGGTGATGTTAGGGTCTAGCTTGAAATCTTAATCCTAAACCCGGAACTCGAAGCTCGAGATCCTCTGCCCTAAAGTCTAAATCGGGACCCTAAACCCCAAACTCGAACCCAGGATTGGAGAAGGAGGCACAAACAAGCACACTTACTTGCCCACTTACTTACTTGCTTGCTTTCATTACTACGAAGCCCTGAACCCTAACCCCGAAAATCCTAAACGCGAACGGCTCTGGAGTTTCGGCCTCACAGCCCTGAGAGCAGGATCCCCTTGAACGAGTGACCTGCTTTTTGGGCTCCCACGCTTTAGGCTTTAGGGATATAGGGGATATAGGGTTTAGGGTTTTAGGGTTAGGGTGTAGGAGAGGGACCAGGTTAATTCACAAAAATGTCAAAGAAACGTAGACTGAAAATTGGAGGGGCGCGGGGGAAAACTGCCCACACCCAGGCGACGGCCCAGACACTCTTCGATGGCATGGACGTCGCCCCGAGCGATAGTGGGCTGTCGAGCCAAGAGTGGGAGGAAGGCTTCTCAGTCTTCCAAAGGATACTGCAAATGTCATATGATGGTGTTGAAGGCCAATAAGAGAACGGCCAAAGTTGGTATCTCATAGTTTCAAAGGGCGCCCATTTGTCTGGCTGTGCGTCACAAGGATAATTCGCATGTGGGTCAGTATTGCAGTAGGCCAGCAGGATATCCGGGTAGTCCTCAAAGCGGGAGCGTTCATTGCCAGGTTGCCTCAGGCTCTGCGCGCAACAAGAGATTTCTGACGGTATGAAGCTCCTCATCGACTGGAGTCAGCGGCACCAGAAGTCCCAAAAAATGTTTCGAAGTGTCGGAGCTCTAGGGATTGAGGCCATGTTTGAGCTCGGCTTATGCAGTGTAGTGAGTCTCGTCCTGAAGCGGCTCAGGTTCTTACTGTTGTTGGCTGTTGGTCTATTATATTGTCTAGGGGCCCCTAGAGTATCTGGCTTCGGGCTGCCGACTTTTTTGGGGTTATGGGTGTGGGGTTTTGGGACGTTATAAGCCTTAAGGCCTTATAAGCCTTTCCCTTGGAAAGTATGCCGAAGCCCCAAGTTGCGCAACAGACAACCTGTGTATACTAGGGCTACTAGGGTCTAGAGTGTAGGGCTTAAGTTTTTAGGATTAAAAACTCTTGAAGGCCCTTATGCCAAAGTAGTGAAGTGATGTCACGAGCCTTCCCAAGGAGCAGCCCTTGAGCTTGGCTTACGTTTCGGAACTGGACGTTCGACTTCAATCTCGAGAAAACAGAACCTGGCCGTTGGCATAGCATGTTGAGTAGTTCAGTGTCTTGGTCAACTAACCATCAAAAAAACGCCTGTGTGACCCATGACACAACCGCTTGAAACTCAGATTCCCTGTAAGACCCTTGAACAGGTTCTCACGTACCTTGACTGAGAGCCAATACGGCCCCTTAGAAGACCCTGAAGAACTACGCGAAAAAAAGCATTCTTGAATCTCGTCAGGCCTGTTTGCATCACAGCGTTCCCATCTCACGGTCAGAGGCAGAGGCCCAGACGGTGACACGGTCAGCGCTTCGGGTTTAGAGTAGGGTCTAACGGTTAAGGCGGGTTCTGCTGCCCCAGTAGGATTTCAGGCGTAGAGCCAGCGAGTCATGGCTACAGCTATGCTGGACTCTGGTGCTAGTATCCGGGTGCCGAAGCTAGCAAGTGAGATCACGGTAAATGTCAGTGCAGGTCTTTAGATCGTGTACGGGGACATTGTACCCCTAAACCCTAAGGCCTAAACGCCTACTAAACCCTAAACCCCTAATCCCCAAAACCCTCAATTCCCTAGGTTAAGCTGACAGCTGCGAACCGCAGCTCCGAGCTGCTAGAGTCCAAGCTCTAAACCCCAAGCTTGCGGTTCATCCCTAAACCCTCAACCCTGCATGTTTAGAGAGAGAGAGAGAGAGAGATATATATATATATATTGTTCCTTCAAGCGAACCCTAAACCCCAAATCCCTAACATAGAGCGCTAAGTATGTGAGGCCATCTTCGCTCGCTTGGGTCGCAGCACTCCCGGCGGTATGCGGATAACATTCCAGGCAGGAAAGGGTTACTCAAGAACACATTTTTCCCCGGTCCCTACGGAGATGCTATTCGGTTCCGTCTCAGGGGTACTTAAATTAAGGGTTTTCCAGAAAGGTGCGTTGGTTGCTGAGGACAAAAGTAGAATGTTTTTGTTTTTGCCCTAGAACGTGTTCCTGCACAGGGTTTTTGCTATCAGCGTGCCCTGAAGGATCTCAGTGCTTCAGCCAAGCTTGTGCATCTCCTGGGCCATTGTTTAGGAGTTTAGGATGCTCCAGTGCTTTTTGTGTTTAGAGGCTAGGCGTTCAGGTTTTTAAGTGCAGGGGGCGGCGCAGTGGTCAATGACATCAGAGCAAGCCATTTTGGGCAGATCTCAAAGAGGAGAGGGCTTAAATCTTACCCCTGAAGCTGCAACTCTAACACCGTCAACCCCAAAACACCTACACCACAGAAGGCTCAGACAGCCCAGCGGAATCTATAGCAAGGCAACATGAACGGGCCCTATACTTTCGAACAACCTAAAGCCTTGCAAAGACACACACTGCTGATCCTCACAGGATCTTGAGTACGAGCTGCCTGGCTGCTTAGGAATTGGCGGTGTAAGGGATAAGGGCTTAAAGTTAAAGGTTTAGGGTTTTTCGGATTTAGGACTTACGCGTTGGTTTAGGCTTTCGAGATGTAGTTTAGCACCTTCTTCAACATGGCACTTACAGGGTGGGTTAAGGTTTCGAGATGTAGTCTAGTGTACCTTCTTCAACCTTGCCCAGGACTGTGTTTCCCAGTGTGGCTGAGTGCTGTGTGGACCAGTGGAAAGAAGCTACGTAAAAAAGATGAATGAGACCACGGTCTCGCAGCCATGTCGCTGTTAGTTGAGCTTAGGATTTAGAGTGTAATGGCTGTCGCTTTGGAGTTCAGAGATGAATCTAAATGCTGTCGGCATTTATGGCGGTTAGCATGTGTGCCATGTACATGGTGCTGGACTACATCATCACCACTGTGCCCGGCTGAAGTTGGCAAGCTGCTACACTGAGGCTGCAAAGAGGTCACGAAAACATCGAGGACTCTCTTTGCGTCAGTTTACGTTGTTTGCATATTCGCCCATGTAATAAGCTTAAGAGGGGAATAGGGTGCTCACATGCAGCTTAATGTTACTTGTTATTGAGTTTCGCTTTCCGAAAAGCCCTCTGTTGGGAACATCGGGGACCCTTCTCTCTTTCTGCATCATGCCCGAGGAGGTGTGCCGTGCCCGTGAGATGATTGTCGTCGGGAGCCATGTTGCAGATGTTGGATGTCGATCAAACATGTCCTCTCCAGCCCTGGCCTCTTCCTGTAAATTCAGGACCTGCACTTGAACAAAGCCTAAACCAGAAAGCAACACAAGAGGCGATGCGACGACCATGACGACAGAAGCGGCGCCAGCAAGGAGGAGGAGCAGGAGGATGAGGAGGAGGAGGACGAGGAGAACATTGATGCAGAGCCCTGGCACTGGCAATGGCAGTTGCAACGCCGACAGCAACGACAAGACCTGCTCGACACCACAAGCAGGAGCACCAGTACACGACATGGACAGTTCCGGTCATGGTCGATGCTGCAACGCTACCCTAACCCTAAACCGCAGTTCGACCAGCGAGACTTCTCAAGCACAGGATGCTTGGACAAGACGAAAATTCGACTTCGACGAATGAACAGGAAGTCCACATCTTTGTGTATCTTTGTGCCGTTAGGCCGAGACCGTTGTCTTTGTGTGCCAAGGCCATGAATCATGTGCTGGTCGAGAAGCATGGCAGCAGCCCCTCGGTGGCAGGAACTTTAAACAATGCTGGTTGGATTTTAGTTTTTGCGCTTGTGTGGGCTGCTCCAGAAAAAGAGCCCGGAATGTGTGCAAAACCCTGGGTTGCTCATTAGTGCAGCTTGAAATGTAACAAAAGATACTTCGGCAATGGAGGAGTGCGTTTTGCAATGGCGGCTTGTTTACTTACCTCAGGACCCTAGCCATTACATTCTTACCCAAAACGCTGGCTGACGAAGTCCGCAAAGTCGACCGGCCTAGGATGAATTTCGACATGCCTTCGTCAAGCCATGATCTGCGAACCTGCTTCTGCGAGTGCCGCGACTATCTGAGGTTTGGAGGCCAACTTTGAGCAGTTCGGTCGCGCGCTTGAGGATATATAGGTACAGCCTTAACTCTACTCTAAATGCTGTTAATGTTCGTGTTATTGTCTTGTTGTCACCACCAATGTTCATTGCCACTGTGGGAGTTTCATCGCTGGGAGGAGCATCTTTCGGATTCCGTTGCGCCACTCAGGGTGCCTGTATATAGGTCGCAACAGTCGTATCGGTGCCTAAAAGCAAGCAAAGCCTAAACCGATACCGCCGAGGTCTCTGAGGCCTTCACATGGGCTAGCTGCAAAACTAAGCACCTTACCAATAAACCGTCCCTACGTTCTTCGTCCCCCTGATCCTTCTGGCATGTTATTGTAGCTGAGGCATACCTGCCAGGTACCTTGTTGAGTATGAAAGGGTATGCAGGGATGCTATGAAGGCTATCGTAAATTCCCTAAACCCTAAACTCTAAGCCAAAAATGCCCGCTCGATGCGAAAATGTGTGCTTCCAGGTCAGGAAGGCTTACCCCCCGAGGACATCCACAAGGCTACCCGGAGCTGCAAATCACGATCTACTGGTTCAGGGCGTCGGGTTCGGGGAATGCTGTTGTGCCGACTGATATCAAGAGATTCTGGTTGTTACAAAAATCACGAAAAGGCTTCGTAATTTTATCTGTCCGCGCCGATGCTGCTGACACGCCCGCGGGCACAACACATCAAACAGAAGCAACATGTACAAACCACAACCAAAAGCGATGCTTCCGTGTTTGAGCATGCGGACACCAAGCGAGACCGTCGTAAATAAATTCTTCACGCAGAAACACACATAGCTCAACAAAGCCAGGAAGCCAAAGTAAGATAACAATGACTTCGGCCGCTAACTCCAAAAGAAAACACAGCGCCAGCACAGAATATCCTCAAGCACAAAGTTTTCTGTATGCTGCATGCTGACCTCGGGAAACCACCGTAGATGACAACATAAAAGGCATCTGCGGCTTGCAAGTTGTCATTGTGTCGGAGCGTTATTCTACTAAGTGCGACATGACTGTATGGGACTCGCGTGTGCTGCAGGTGTTCTCTGCCGTGCGTCCTCTTAGTGTCGCGCAGTGGCAAGCCCTTCTGCTCGGGTGCCCGGAGTTCAGTTTTATGCCGCAGCGATGACCCAGACAAGGACAGGCCAGTTCCTTCTATGGTAAATGCACGAATCGCATGACTCCATGACACGTTGTGGTGTTAAGTGTCGTCTTTCTTTTGCGTTGATCGCAGTCGTGTGCTTTGACTGGTTGCAATTCCTCTTGAACTGTTAGCGTTAACATGCAGTTTATGTCAGGGTGCATGTTGTTGCCATGTTCTTCTTTGTTTGCTAAAGTTGTTGCTTTATTGTGGTCCGGGTATTGCCAACAATCCAGCTCTAAACTCTAAACCCCGTGCTCTCATCCTCAACGAATGAACCTGGCTGCAAGCGCCACAGTTGATGCTGACGGACCTTGTAGCTGACTGCGCAACCCTTACCCGAAACACGTAATGCCTCTAGGGAACTCAGCTACAAGGAGACCTTTATCAAAACCTCTCGGAGTCGACCCCCGTGGTGCACCGAACCTGGCGGCCCTCTTTTTGGCCGAAAACCCAAAACCCCAGTTCCTCTTTGCGGCATCAGGAGACGCAGCCATCTGTATCTTATTCGGGTATCTAGACTTTACTTTTTACGCAATCCTAGTCCAAATACGTATGTCCATGTCTACTGATTTCCTTGATCCTTTCCGCAGAGGCAAACACCATCAACCCACCGAAGACCTCCCAAGGCGTCCCATCTACGCATGAAGCATAGAAGATTAGCAACCTGCCACCCAATGTATCACGCCGACCAGACTCTGTGAGACCTCGCCTGGCATGTCCGAGTTTAGAGAGTCGACGTACTTTGAGACCTCGCCAGGGTTGTGAGTGCTGAAACCTCAAGCTATACACCTCATATCGAAAATGCAAACCCCAACCCCCTAAACCTAAATCACCCTTGACCCTGGGCCCTATCCAACATTTGACAAGCATCCCACGAATTTGAGACTC